TTTTAAGGACCAAGGTCTTCAGGTCTTCACCTAGCCTGAGCTGAGCTGGGCCCAGCTGAGTTGAGCCAAGCTGAGCTAAGCTGAGCTGAGCTGACTTAAGCTGAGCTAGCAGGGCTTGACAGGTCAGCTCAGCTCAGCTGGGATCTTCAGGTCAGCCTGAGCTGACCGTCCTCTAAGCTAATCAAGCTGAGCTGAGCTGAACCGAGCTGGAGACGACTTCATTTGAGATGGCCCGATTTGTGACCCGAGCTGGCTTCACCTGATCTGGCCGGCCATGTTGTGCCCTTCGACCGCTCCGACCTAACCTGACGTCGTGCGAACTGCGAACTGCGAACTGCACCCAGTTCACCGAAAGCGCGGCTGCAGTTCACCGAATCTAGTTCACCGAATACCGTGTCACCCTTTTGACAACCACCCATATAATCCCAGTTTCCATTTGATTTTCCAGTTTCTCTTCCATTTGATTCTCCATTATGGGGGGGTTAATGGTACCCCCAGGTGAATGAAATGGGAAGCTTACAAAGCCCTTTCATAACAAGTTGACGAGCCAGCAGGTACGTACAATCTGCGCCTCTTCAACGACGATGGCTCCGTTAACGAGGCTGGCGAAGCGTCACCTGGCTAAAGGTTGAGGCTGTCGTTGCCTATGGGAGCCTCTGAAGATGCGTCCGATATGAGCCATAGTCTAAACCCCTTAAAGAGGCTTATATAGGGGATTTTTTGGAGAGTACTATAGGAGTTATTAAGGGGGATACTAGGAGTTTAGACTATGGCTCATATAACACCAGTATATACTCTATATGACCCATTTTTGTAGTTTCCATTTTCTTTCCATTCTCCCAATACTACCCCCTATATAACCCCAACATACCAAAAATCGGAACCCACAGTCCCCTTCTAGCCCCCTCATATCCCGAGCTTCTCCAAGGGCACCCCGCTTCTGCATAGAAACTACTTTCTTTGTGTTTGGTGGGTTCATAGAATCTATGAGGGCTCTTCTGCTTCGGAAGGACAACAGAGCCGTTGTCCCCGCGTTGGCATGTCTTATAGTTATGGTAGCGCGAAGGGATGCCCACAATCCCAGCTCTAATACATTGAAACATACTCAACCTTACGGCTGCTTGTGTCTGCTGATGTACTGGGGAGGGGCCAGGGCTGCTGGCTGGCAATGAGGTTTACGAACCAAACTAAGTTTAGAGGACTAATCCCGGAATTGTCCAGGACAGCACTATCGTCCGAGCACGTTGAGTTGCTATAGCCCCTAGGTCACTGCACCAACTAAGTGTATGTAAGGGCTGAGGACCCTTAGTACCCCAGGCATAAAACGTGGTCTGCATGATCAGGACCCCCGCCAAATGTAGCCAACATTTGGAAACCCTCATCCATGTTTCCAATCCAAGGTATATGGAGGTTTGTCAGAACTGGAAGACGTTGGCTCGCTGAACACAGCGGCATGCATGCACAGTGCGACTAGGATAAACTGCAAAAAGGGCGTTGAGGCATTCTGAGCTTTTGCTGCCAGAAGAGAAGGGATGCAGAGTCCGCAGTCGCACTAGTTTCCATTTGATTTAGCGCAGAAATTGCGTTTTGGAACTGCTTCGAAGGCAGCGCCACCAAAAGGTGTCACACAATACTGGGAGAGACTGTGATGATCACATTGCCTCTGCCCATACCAACATTTGTGCACCAGGTCCATGGCCCTGAGGCACAAGTCCGAGGCCAAGCTTGACTAGCGATCTCCTTGGGGTTGGATCTCACTTCTTTTCAAAGTCTTCCAGCTGTAATTATTGTGAACATGTATGCTACAGCCCAACCCTGATAGAGGTGTCGTAGAGACAGGAGTGCACAGCACCCAGCTCCTTTCCTCTTCCCCTGTGCTGTCGTTGGTGCTTCAAAAAGTTGCCCAACACTACAGGCTCTACGCCCAGCTGTGCATGAGCACAGCTCAGTGTCCAGCCCTATCCCAGCTTTCGTGCCGATCCATGGACTAGCCAGAACCTTTCCAGTTTTGCTACGGGCTTAAAATTACAGAAAGCTGGGCCCTTTGCAAACTAATTCGAAGACGTCCCGGCCAGGCAACTGAGGCATGCTTGCCCTAGAGCACAGTGGTGCCTGCCAGGCGTCTCTGGCAGAGTTCCTCACACATGCAATCGAAGGTAAGACTAGGAGTTTTTACGGTTGCAACAGCTCGATAGGTAGTCACCTATTATTTTTTGTAGTTGGTCTGGTTGTGAGTAGTAAGTTGCTGATGGCTGTCATAGTACTCAGACATTTTGTCCAGTGCTCGTGAAGAGCGGACAGCAGACTTCGCCCCAATGCCTTAGTCACAGATGCTGCGAGCTTTTGAGAAGCATTGCACCAGACCACCAGTCGTTGCACGATTTAAGCTTCCGGAGCTTGACCAGATTTTGAGCCGGGCCAACAAACCGCAACATACTCTGTTCGCGCTCACCGCTGCATCCGGGGTCGAAGCGGAGTGTAGAAGCAATGCCATGAATCACATCTTGAGGTTATCGGTTTCATTTGCCGAGCAATTGTTACAAATGGGCTGCGTGCGTTTACAAAGTTCCAAACAGACCCCTTGCAGCCCAAGTGTGGGAAGCAATGCTCCTCCTGTGCATGAGCACAAGAAGCCGGATACCGTAGCTGGAAGCTCAGAATCAATTTGTTTGAGTGTGAGCCACTTTAAATACCTAGCACTAACATCCGGACCCCATTGCACGCAGTGCACGTCAACATGTTCCTGGTGCAACCTTGTATCAACAGACTACAGCCTCACAGAAGAGGCTCACAAGCATGCACCCTGGGTGTCAACTCTTTTGTGCTGGCTACGCCCACTATGTTCATCAATTTGCATCTGCAACAGGAGAATCGATCTGAGTGAGGCCCGTCTAGCCTTTAGCATGCTCCAAGATTTGTGTCTCCGCCGTCACTGCAGCTTGTAGCTAGGCGTAGCTTACTCGTTGCAGCATAGAAGCCCACTCGCTGCAGCGGGTCGCTCCTTTGCGGGGGCATGCCTACATGCTATTTGGAATGCAATCGGTGTGGTGTGGTTGTGGAGAGATCTGGATGGCGGATCCAGACAGATGGCCCATGTGAACATCAAGCGCAGGGATGCCCTGGCAGCATGTCACGGGCTTCCAGTTGGATGGAAATGTTCTCCGGAGAGCGGTGGCAACAGCGAATGCGACAGAAGTGCTTCTGTGCCAGCCTTCGGTACCTTCACTGCAACAGCTGTGGTTTTGTGCGGAAGGAACAAGGATGGAGCTTTGGAGGAAAGTCGTGTGATCACCGTGATCAGCACGGATGTCGGGGAGCAATGCAAAGCGCCGAAGGTTCCTCCAAGGTGTATGACCCCCTGCCGGACTGGGAGCGTCGCATGCAGCAAGACTGCATGTGTATCCGTCCCGGCATTGCTCTTGGAGTGGCCTCTCTCGCTGGTGAGCATTTGGAGCTTGAAGTCAGAAATGACTGGACAGTTGCTCAGTTAAAAGCAAAGATGCAGCAAATCCACAACCTGAAGGCCGACGAAATGTGCCTTACCTCCGGGCGAGCCATTCTCCCAGATGCTGCCATCATCAAAGACCTCCATCTCAATGAGCATTCTCCACCCATCACCTGGGTCTACCGCGATCCAGAGTTGACAAGGTGGTTGAAGCTGGTGCAAGAAGACTGGCAGGCCATACACCGTGCCCCCGAAACTACTTGGAAGTCGCCAGAGGTCATGCTCGCGGTGATGCATCAGTCTCGTCAAGCCGTTGCCATCACTCACACAGAGCTACTACATGATGCAAGCTTCCTGCGGCAGGTGTGTGAGATGCGGGGTTTGATGCCACGGTCAGGCCATGGCGACTTGGTTGCCTGTTGTTAGTTTTGGGATGAAACTGGACTCTAGACCAGCATAAACGCACAGAGGTGCAGGCATGGCCATAGCTCTCACGAGTGTATTGCACAACCAAGGCAAATCAACTGGCTGAAAGATGTTGCTGACATCTACGCCTTACTCTCTTATGCTGCAGCAATACAGGACGGTGATCTTTGCCAGCTTGTGCTGAACTCCAACACACTTGGACAAGCAGATCCCCAGGATCGTGCGGATCTTGTGGTCTCAGTTGTTTCGAGTGTGAAGTTGGCAGAAGGGGTCAAGTCTGATTTGCTGGCTTTGCTGAATGGTGGCATTCCTGCAAGCTGCTTTGCAAAGTGTTTCAATCGGAAAGCTGTTGCCGACAAAGAGCTTGCAATGTGCTTGCTGGAGGCTGAGCAGGCAGCTTTACGCAGTCCCGGTGTCGCTAGGGCTAGAGCTGCAGGGCCACGGCACCTTGACGAAGATCACCGGAGGAAGCTGCCCATGCCTACTGCATTGAAGCGCCATGAGTTTGCATGGCAGGTAATCGTGCGACACAAGGACGCGTTGTCGCACAGCTGTTTCGAACGCCTACTTCGTCATGTGCAAATAAGGGACATGTCAACGGACGACGCCTCTATGCTGGTGGCCACCTGTTTGTCATACAACCAGGAGGACTATGCCTGCAGAGGTTGTGTTCGTGTTGCAAACCTAGATGCAAGCTTGGCCATTCAGCTTATGTCGCGGCATGCCAGTCTTCCGCTAACCCTGCTTCAAGATGTGATCTCCGAGGATGCTAAAGCGCGCATCTTCCAAGGGGTCGTGAAGGTTTGGGGACCACAT